AAGCAAAACCCACTCAAACCCATCCATTCGTGGTGCAAATGACATTAGTGCCAAATCAGGTTTTGCACGTGCAGTCTATCACGTGATCTTCGCATCGAAGTTGCATCACATCACCGTTGGATCAACGTCAACGTCTGCTGTTGGCCCAACGGCACCTCTAATGGACCCAGAGAGACTGGAATCGAGTCGTCTTTAGCGATGAATCCAGGTTTACCCTCAGATTTGCAGATGGCAGGGATAGAGTCTGGAGACAACATCGTGAACGGTATGCCCAATGTTGTGTACAGGAAGTCGACAGATTCGGGGGCGGAAGTTGCATGGTGTGGGGTGCTTTCTGTGGGAACAACCGTCCCCGACTTCTGGTCATCCCTGGAAACCTCACAGCTGCTGCTTACCGCGACCAGGTGCTCACCCCTGAACTCGTTGACACGAAATTTCCTTCAAAACGCTGGAATCAACGTCATGGACTGGCCATCGAGGTCCCCTGACCTTAATCCAATAGAGCACGTTTGGGATGCACTTGGGAGAAGGCTTCGTGGTCTTAGGAACCAACCTCAGAATTTGCAGGAACTTGGCGCTGCCTTGCAAGAGCAATGGCGCAGAATCCCCAACCACATGTTCACAAGCATCAGGCAAGTCGATGAGGAAACAGTGTTTGGCAGTGGTGAATGCGCGGGGCTGACATACACGACATTGAACTGAGAAATTTAGCATTTTTATTCTTGTGACTTGACATTCTGTATACCCATGTTTTGGAACGGTGGCGTAGCCTAATGGAACTGATCATGGCACTGTCAGTGTATCGAGTACATCACACAGATCTCAGCAATGAAATAATAACAATTTCACCATCTTACCATCTCTTGTTCTTTTATAGTGCCCCGAAGAAAGAATGTGAAGTTTCTTTTTTGACTCAGTATATATATTTTGTATATATAACAATGTCATGCAGTAGGAAGCTAGACCGTTTCCGGAGATCAAGGGAGCCTCTAGGCATCACAGCCGTGCGCCAGTCAGTGACCATCACCAACAATACTAGCAAGATAGACCAGAACCAACCGCTGTTGGTTCGATTCCCCAACCTGGGTGAGAATGACCTCATCGTGCCCGGCACGGTTCGACTGACATTCAACCTCACGTTGACTTCCGACAATGACAACGAGAGCCGGTGCGGAACGTCGGCTGTGCTATCGTCAAGAAGACCACCATCCAGACCAGCTAGACAAGAACCCGGCGAGTGAAAAGGCCATCGCTGAAGTGTACAGGAACAGGTTCTGCGTGCCGCTCGACTTTGTGTTGCTCACTGGACATGCACTGTTTTACCAGGCCGCGCTGGGCGATAGGCTTGAATACAAGCTCACGTTGAATGACTACAGCAAAATCGTGCGTACGCCGAACGGTGATGCGGCCAGTTACACTATCGACAACATCTCTTTGGAGTTCGACATGGTCACTAGCCCGGAGCTGGCCAGGCAGGTTCGAAACCAGTACTCGGGAAAGTGGCCATCTTGTACGACCAGGTCCTGCGGGATGGAACGATCATACGGGACAAGAGTGACACGCTGTGGAACATCAACCTGAACGTGCCGGCGCGATCGATGAAAGGCATCTTGATCGTTCCTGTAGAGGATTACGAGCCGTTCCGAAGGGACAGCGAGAAGTTTTTTCAACCCCGAGATCACGAAGGTGGAAGTGACCAATGAGGGCGTGCCAAACCAGCTGTTCAGTCATGGTATGAGGGCATACCAGCAGTGGGATGAGATAACGAAGCTACCGACCCGGCACCCACACGTCATCAAGGACCTGGATCTATCCTCTGTGCAGATCGGGGAATACCTGACCACCAAGTACACACTGTGGTTGGACATGCGATCCACGAACGATGATCGGTTGCACGGCAGTGAGGGGATAACCGTCCTGATCACCAAGAAGGCTCAACCAGCGGGCAAGTGGAAGTTATATCTGTACATGATTATGGATGAGCAGCTTAACATAGACAATGGGAGATTTGTGCAAGCCATCGGTTGATCTACCCCGCGACCTGCACTGCGCCATAGTGTGCGGGCAGACGGGCTGTGGGAAGACTGTTTTTGGAGGGGTACCACCGGGACACGTTCGACAACATCGTTATCCTGTGCCCTACTCTTCTTCATTATCTCCTTGTTAGCAGTTGTCCAGGATGAACAGCGTCGACTCCCCCTTGAATTTCTTATGGTAAGCCTTTAGCCAGTCCTGCAGGCATGTTCCCGGGTGTACACGGAAAGACCTTCGGAGTCGACCCGGGAACATGCCTGCAGGACTGGCTAAAGGCTTACCATAAGAAATTCAAGGGGGAGTCGACGCTGTTCATCCTGGACATTTGCTAACAAGGAGATAATGAAGAAGAGAGACATGCTATCGTACCTAGCCTTCTCCGGCCGGCATGCAAAGCACAGCGTCTTGCTGCTGATGCAGAAGTTCAACTCGGTGTTGAAAGACCTCAGGGAACAGATCCGATGGGTAGCCTTATTCCACTGCAAGGACAGGGATTCGTTCGAGGAGTGCTTGAGGGAGAACGATGTGATGAGCAAACTAGAATGGGAACGGGTGAAGAGACAGCTAGCCGAGACGAAGCATGCTAGGCTCGTGCTCAAGACCGACCAACCCGTGGCTTACCAAGTGCTAGGCATTGCCAAGCAATGCTGTGTAATGCTTAGCAATGGCTTAGCAATGGCTTAGCAATTAAAGGTTACAGTTATATATGTCAGCTTGTGAAGTGCTCATCGTGTGCAACCTAACCTTCAACTCGCTATGCCTCACGTGCATCGACTATTATATCATTGGAGTTAAGAATCGCTTGTTACATTATAGGATGGAGTGCAACGACCTGCTCGAACAACTGTTGGTGCCGGGACGAGAGGGGAATGATGACAAGCCGGAGAAGCTGGTAGTCCTAGCGGTCAGCTGCAAAGCCAAACAATACTTTGGGGACTATGCTCCTGATAAGATTCAGAAACTACCTGCCGATGCAATCGATAAGCTGTACGCGAGATACCAAACCCGGCTCGGGCCGAGATGACGAAGACTATGGGGTCGACCATGACGCAGATCCACACCGGTTTGGCATCATACCTCTTCCCCATTCCCCCGGAACGCCGGCTTTACTTGTGGGAGGACCTCTAGAAGGACCCGTTCATCGAACACGCTTTGAGCGCCATCAGCTGCGTGCTGTACCACAAATACAGCATGTTCTTAGCCCCGGTGACGGCGGTGATTATCATGGCAAAGCATTGTCAATTTAAAGAGGGGAACAATAATAGTAATAGTATACAAGATAGATGCTTCCCAACAGGAAGTGACTCCGACCCCAACACAGGAGCAGGTGGAGGAAACCCCTGACACCGACACAAGGCACTAAGCAGAAGAACCCTAAGAGAGTCGCCGCCGTAGAAAAGGGGGCCTAGCCAAGCACCATAAGAGTAACTATACTCTGTGGATAGGCACAGTTGCTGCAGCTGCCGCGGCTCTCTTCATGTTATATAATAGGTCACAACCAGCACCAACCCTGCAACCCCAATTAGAGGTCAACCCCCATATTATGTTATAATTAATATATATCTTATATACATCATGTCTGAGGGGAAAACGTTCGTTTTAGAGATAGAAGCAGAACGGAAAGGGCACAACATAGCCTTGGAGCAACTGCAAGCGGCGCAAGCTGAGTACGTGAAGAAACGTATGCAGAGACTCGATTACATTAATGAACGACTCAAGCGTGAGAACCATGCTATTGGAACGTTCAAGGACGTCGATGCCGCTGCGAAAGAATACTGCCTGATGACCGACAAACAGCTCGAACCACTCGATGAGCCCACACTCTCCCAATTCTAGGCACCCTCCCCGGGGCAAAAGGACCGAGAACTGGCATTCATTGTGATAGCCCTATCAGCGACTATATTGATCGCAAAGCAATTAAACCTGATACCCATATGAGTATGAGACCTGTGCCGTATCGATGCCAGCACGTGCTTATAGGGAAGACCGAGACTTGTGGTAGGAGATGCAGGACCGAGGGGTACTGTTGTTTCTACAGGAGGTGTTTCATCGGCATCGGAGTTAAATGCCACTACTTTCTATGCAAAGCCCACGGGGCAAACCTAGTCCGGCACCAGCTTATCTACGAGAGGAAAAAAGGACTACATAAACGAAATGTAGGCGCCTCCACAGGATGGAAGTGTGGGCCCAATTAAATACTGTGTACACCTAGGTATAATGATGCCTGCGTTCGTGCATGCCATAACCCCGAAAGGTTACCTGAGAAGCTGGCAGATGAACGCCAAGAGCATATCCATCGTCGCCATTAATGCTCGGATCACCGGTATACTTGAAGCGATGGGGCGCTTCCAATTTCGGTTCACATTGGAAATAGCATGGGGGGAGGGGGGCGTCAGGTATACTTTCCCCATCACAGGTGGGCGAAAGATCGCGACTCAACCTGAACTAGACAAGTACCTCAACACCTCATTGCGAAGTATACAGGAATACCTGTACTGCTTCCCCAAGCGGGTTGAGTGCAGAACGGTCTACCTAAGCATAGCCGATTTCGACGCTGAAGTGGACCTACTGGCACCAGCCCTCCACCTGCTCACGGCAAAGTTCCACTAGCGCGCTTTATTTTTGTATTAAGGTTGGAGGAGTTACCTCCCTTTCCGGTGACCCATTTAGACACCTGAGTATAACAATGTCTACTGTCCGAGAGCTCAGGCAGATTGTGAGAGAACTAGGTGTAGTGGGGTACTCTCGATTGAGGAAACCCCAGCTGTTTAGCTTACTCGACATACAACCCCCTCCAACGATGAAACAACTGAAACTCCAAGCTAAGCAGCTGGGGCTGGCGGGTTATAACCGCCTGGGGAAAGCCGGGCTAGTTGCACTGTTGCACGCCCCCCATACAACGACCACCCACAGTGAAAAAACTCAAACTCCAAGCGAAAGAGCTGGGGCTGGCGGGTAATTCCCTCATGAGAAAGCCAGAGCTCGTCGAACTGTTGCATCAGCACAGAGTCGTCAATCTACAGTTCGTGTGCACTGAACGCGCTGTAGGTAACTACCTGAGAGGCTGGCGGATGAATGTAGACAAGAACATAGACATTGGCGACGTCAAGCCTCTGATCGCTGACAATGAGGAACTGAACGACCTGGGAAGTCTCAAGTTTAAAATCACGGCAAAGATGTCGCTTGATAAACAGCAGACGGACGGTGCCATTGAGTACGTTCAGCCTTACTTCCGGGGTAAACAAGAAGTCGGGACTCAACCCGAGACGGTAGAGGAGTCCATCGACACCTCGCTTCAGCAGATACGAGAGTACCAGGAACGCTACACGCACAGGGGGTCTGGGTGGGCCGTGGACAAGATCAATAAGGTCTATCTTTACATAGCTAAATACGTACCGTTCAGAGGCAGATCGTACCTAGACTTACCCCCCTACAAGAAGAGACAAGCCATGGTCAACGTCAAGAACAGAGGAGACGATTGCATAAGGGTAGCTATCAGGTCTTGTTTCCGACCGACGTTAATTCGAACAGACCTTTGAGCTATCCCCAAGACGATGGGCTCAACTGGGATGGTATAGACGAACCCACCCCCATATCCCATGTCACCAGAATCGAAAAGCAGAACCCCATAGCCATCAACGTCTTCAGGCACGAAGGCAACAAAACGATCGTGCACAGGATCAGCCCAATGGAGGGTCGTTGCGTGATCAATATATTCATGATCCAGCGAGGTGACAAGTATCACTAAGCGTGGATAAAACACTTCAGCAGGCTATTGTACAACCAATCGGCACGCAGAGAGAAGAGACACTTCTGTGAACGGTGCCTGCACGGCTTCACCCAGGCAAACCTGCTGGAATCACACCAGGAGGATTGCCTAGTTGTGGGGCAGACGGCCATACGAATCGACATGCCCAAGGAAGGCGACAACACCCTAAAATTCGACAACCACAAGAACCAGATGTCTACGCCATCTACCCTGACTTCAAAGCCCTCGTCTAACCCGTTGACATCGGGCCAGCCCCCAACACGCACAAAACACAGGGGCACGAGGCCTGTGGGTTCGGATACATAGGGAAACGAACGCTCCTGTGGTGTACAGGGGTCCCGACGCGGCTGAAAAGTTTCACATGTGCTTGCAACAAGAATTAAAAACCATCAGGAAGAGGTTGTACATCGTCGTTCCCATGCATATGACCCAAGCCAACCGGCAAGCTCATGGCTGCAGCACTAACTGCCACGTGTGTGACGGCCCGCTGAACGGCGATTCGGTGAGAGATCACTGCCACATCACCGGTGAGTACAGAGGCGCCGCTCACAGCCCGTGCAACCTCAATCTCAGAATCAACCCAAAAAGAATCAACATTCCCGTGGTCTTCCACAACTTGAGAGGGTACGACTCTCACTTGATCATGCAGGCCATCGTGAGGGTCGACGTCAACCTGACGTGCACCCCCAACAAAATGGAGAGATGCATCTCCTTCTCCTTGAACGGCCTGAGGTTCATAGACTCAGTTCAGTTCCTGCTGTTGTCTCTCGACAGTTTGGTCAAGGCCAACGATACCTTCCCCATCACCAATCAATACACCGACGCCGAGACTCGGCCCCTGCTGATGAAGAAGAGTGTTTACCCCTACAAGTACATGGACAGCTGGGCCAAGTTCGCCGAGACCTGACTACCCCCCATCATCCGATCTGTACTTGAGAACAGACGTACTCTTGCTGGCTGACGTGTTCGAGACGTTCAGAAAGACGTGTTTCAAGCAGTATCAACTCAACCCCACATGGTATTACACCAGCCCCGGTCTCTCTTGGGATGCCTTGCTGAAAAAGACTGGGGTCAAACTAGAACTCCTCACCGATTACAACATGCACCTGTTCATTGAGAAAGGATTGCGAGGTGGGATCTCCATGGCTTCCAAACGCTACGCGAAAGCCAACAACGAGTACGTGAAGGGCTACGACTCTAGTAAGCCCACCACCCACATCCTCTACCTCGACGCCAACAACCTGTATGGCTGGGCCATGAGCCAGTATCTACCCACCGGGGGATTCGAGTGGGTGCCTGAGATAGACGTCATGAGCATACCGCCGGATTCGGGGAAGGGTTACATACTCGAAGTGGACTTCGAGTATCCAGTGGCATTACATAAGTCACACAACGGCTACCCCCTGGCTCCAGAACGTTTGATGGTGGACAAGGACTTGATGTCTGACTACCAACGGAACTTGCTGGGGGGTAATAAGCCGGCCAACGTTGAAAAACTCGTACCCAACTTGATGCCCAAACCCAAGTACACCATTCACTATCACAACCTGCAGCTGTACCTGTCGCTGGGTATGAGGCTGACTAAAATTCATAGGGTGCTCAAGTTCGACCAAAGCCCCTGGATGGAGCCCTACATCAGAATGAACACGGACCTCGCAAAAGTTGGCCACCAGTGACTTTGGGAAGAACCTCTACAAGCTCATGAACAACTCGGTGTTCGGTAAGACGATGGAGAACCTGAGGAAACGCATGACCATGAAGCTGGTCTGGTTGAAAGAGGAAGACAAGCTCAAGAGACTGATAGCCAGCCCAACATTCAACCGGAGCAAGATATTCAACGACGATCTGGTGGCCCTGCACATCAGGAAAAGACACATCAAATTCAACCGGCCCGTCGACGCAGGGATGAGCATCCTCGACGTCTCCAAGCACCTGATGTACGACTTTTACTACAACGAGCACAAGAAGCAGTACGGCGACAGGTGCGAAGTGCTGTATACGGACACTGATTCCCTGCTGATGGAGCTTCGAACCGAGGACGTGTACGAGGACATGAAGAAGCACATCCATTTGTATGACACCAGCGACTACCCCAAGGGCCATGCCATGCACAGCATGGTTAACAAAAAGGTCCTCGGTAAGAGTGTGCCCGCACCTTCAAGCATCGGATGAATACGCTGAGAAGCGAAGGACACAGAATATACGGACTGAAGATAAACAAGACGTCCCTGTCGCTGATGGACACATACATAAGCTTGCCAAAATAGCGAAAGTATCCCCGGACAAGGCCAAAGCGTCGATGGGAAAACAAGCCCTGTGGCAGATCTACCTACCAGCACCACGCTACGTGACTAGACGAAAGTTCGGTGTGCCGACGCCCAAAAGCGTCCACCAGGCCGACCTCCTGTTCCTACCACACAACAAGAGGTACAAGTATGCCCTAACAGTCGTTGACGTGGCCAGCCGCTACAAAGAAGCGGAACCCTTAACTTGAAAGACTCGGCCCAAGTAGCCCGCGGATTCGAGTGCATATACAAGCGCAGTCCGCTGACATGCCCAACAAAGCTGCAAGTCGATCCCGGATGGGAGTTCATGGGTGCCGTGTCATAACTGCTAGACAAGCACGGCGTCCAAGTCAGGCGTGGCACGGCCGGAGCTCATCGCAGTAAAGCCATAGTTGCGAGATTCAATGGCCAACATGGAGAGACGATCGACGGAATGCTTAAGGTTAATTTCAGTTGTGGGAATAACATATTATTTCATGTAGATATTCACAATCTGACTCATATCTCTTCACCTGTGCACAAATACCACCGATGCACCAGGTAAAATCCCAGGATGTTATGTATAGTGAAATCGTTACGTATTGTACAATGATATTGTGACCTCTCACTGGATTGGTCAATGCGATGGGAGGCATTCATGCATTCAAAATTCGTTGTCAGATAATGATGATGCTAAGTGTTAACAAAAAGCAAGGTACCCATAACAAACACATGCACCATGCAAAACATGAAACCTTCGCTTCAGCTGACCAATCTCCCTTTCTATAACAGATCGTGTGTGCTTGTGTGCTCTGAAATAAAATCAAAACAAAAAAAATCATTTTCTATTGACAGTGTTTTATATTTCTGTCCCTTATAGGAAACATGAAATTTGAACATATGTCATTATCAAAGAGAAGTTGGAATTTACATTGTGCAGTGACTTTACGCTAATAGTCCATACCAATCTTATTTCAGGTTTTACAAAGCTATTTTAATGGCAAATAAAATATTATTCTAATTACATTCTGTATATGGGATATTTGTGAAAAGAAACAATTAATAGATGCAATGATTCATGATATTGATTATATTGTAGAAAAATGACACCTGCATTTAATGAATAAATTTCGTTTTTAATTTGATGGGAGCAAAGGTATGTATTTAAAAATTTACATATTGATAACTGGATTGCAGTGAAGTCCTGTATACTTTTGTGATGATGCAGGGTAAAGTAATAACAACTTGTGTTACAATTTGATTAATATCCAAGAAATAATGATCTTATTTCTGGGATTATCCTGCAGGATTTTAGAAGAAACACACAAGGAAAGGGAAATTACTCTAACCAATAAAGTTAAAGGGGATGTTGCAGACCGTGCCCTTTTCATGACAGGCTCAACATGTGTGCATATCCGTCAAAACTCTCTGTGGGTAGGTAAAATGTAGTTTTTATGTAGGCTAGTTCGTTATAATGGTTGTTTTGAGCACACTTATCTATCGTTTACAGATCACAAGGTAAAAAATACAAGGAAATATATCATACCTGTTGTAATCTGTCTGGGGGCCGGGTTGAGGTCTCAAATATGACTTTAGTAACCAGCGTTTGCAGGGGTAGCCACTGTTTCCGAGTAGATGGCAACTTGTGGGCATGTAGCTCCTCTCAAACAGCACTTTTACACCACTCTCGTTTAATATGCGAGCGTCATGGGTAGAACCAGGCCACCTCGCGATCACATCCAAAATGTTTTCGGTTCACGTATTCTGCCTCATGATCTCGCGGTGCAATTATTCGTACGTGTGTACCATCAATGACACCACTGAGGCCTGGGAAACCTGCTATGTTCATGAACGCTGCTTGTTTTCTTTGTATTTCACGCATATGAACTGGGAATTTTATGAACTGCTTCACGATAGATGGCGATGTTAAAGCATTCAATGTATCATTAATGACACAGCTGATCGTGGACTGTGACGTTTACCTGTTGCTAAATAGCGTAAGGTGATGGCAATTTTCAGTTCAGGTGCTATAGCGTAATTTCTTTCTGTGGGTGATTGCAAAGATTCTCTCAACAAATCTGTCACATATTTGATCCCCACTCGATCAAAACGGCTTTTTCACTAATTCATTGTCATCGTAAAAAGTTAAAACGACCTTACGTTGTCGAAAACTTCTGAGGTGAGGGATGCGTTGTCTAGCGGCCGCCATTTTGTTGAGTTAAGAAAATTTTTCAGTATTTTCTACACTTAGGAGTAACTTTTGATTTTATTTTATTCTAATAAATACGGCCCCAGGTTCTTAATGTATATTTGTTACATCAGTGATTTCTCATCGATGTATTATAGGAATGATAATGACATTCTTAACCTGATGCTGCTTCAAGTGTGTACCTTTAATTTCGTTTCAACGCATTTGGCTAAGATGATTCTCTGAGTATGTTCGTTACATGAATGCTTAAGGGTATACATATATTCATGTCAACAAGAATGTCCGAGTGCATTACCATGCAGAGGCGTATCATACACCCAACAATGTCCCATATTATATTGTGTTTAGTTTGGTTGTAGTTTAACGCCTCAGGCAGCAATATTCCGGCTATATGGCAGCGGTCTATAAATAATCGAGTCTGGATTAGACAGTCAGTGATGATCGATCTACGCAATCGATCTACGTAATTGGAATACGTTGACATGTGTCAACCAAGTCAATAGCCTGACCACCCAATTCCGTTAGTCGCCTCTTACCACAAGCATGGGTTGCTGAAGACCAATTCTAACCCGGATCTTCACGAGTTGTGAGTCATCCAGGTTGAAAACATGTTATTTCTAATATTTTGTATCTTTTGAAGAGTAAAATAGTTATGCATTTCGAAATATCTGTTCATGTTGAAGGCGTTCTGTAGAGTAGAGACGTTCATGACTTTGAGAGATTTCATCCTCGGTGCTATTTTCTGATGATAAAAATTCATTTCAAACGCTGAACATGCATATGTTTAGTATCAATGTTCAATTAATTTTAGTATCAATTAATACGCTTTAGGGGCGGTGGGGTAACCCAGTGGTTAAAGCGTTCGCTGGTCATGGAGAAGACCAGGTTCGATTCCCCACATGGGTACAATGTGTTAACCCCATTTCTGGTGTCCAAGGCCGTGATATTGCTGGAATATTGGTAAAAGCGTCGGAAAATCTAAACTCACTCACTCAGTCACTTACTAAAAGCAGGCAACGCAAAACATAGCCGTGTGATTATTATTCTGAATTACTGTTACATATTATATTAATGTTTGACATCATGAACAATGATTCCTTTATCTTAATGCAAAATCACATTTGGTGTATCTTTGCTATTTTTGCTATCATTTGACAATTTTATGGTCGAATTACCCGCAAGAGATAAAGCTGAATCTCTGATACGATGAAGCTTTATTCTTAGAGTTGGCACTTATCAATGCCAGCTGGAAGTCTGAG